GAAAAAGGCTATTTATTGATTTCACAGCGACAGTTCAAAATTGGCAGTGGCCGACCATCGACTGACGCGCATTTAATGCCTTGGTAACTAGACCGACGGGACGTTTGTCACATACGTCACAATCGGGCTCGTCGCAGACGTCAGTATTCGTCTAGTCGATATCGAGCTCGAGATCCAGGGACCGACCCATACCGAGACCGGTCAAGATCAAGATCGAGCCAAGGGACAAAAGATCCGTTATAGCCGCATTTGGGGAGAGAATCTCGGCGAAAATCAAGGAAAAGTTAATTAATTAATCTATAATGTGATCTACATTATGTATTTTTAAGTTATACCCAAAGTGGGACCCCCAACTATATCAAGAGTGGTTATTATTTGTAACTTGTAAGAGAACATTGATTCATACACAAATTCATTCTAATATATACAGAAAACAGAGCTAATACTATTTTTGGGGTGGCTTTTGGTATTTTAGTCAAATTGTTTCTTCTATCAATCGTTCTTCACTCGATTTGGAGGTGATTAAACTTGAAGGTTTAGGCTAATTAGTTCATCTGATTTGCACTCATTTCTTTTATAACTAATTTCAATACACGTTTATTTATCTTTCCCAATTTATACCACGTATTCTTAGAACTACGTATAAATTTAACTCTCCATTTTTTTGGGTAAACAAGCATCAATGATGACAAGTTTCCTCATGTTTCTTATTTCTAATGAAAGTCAGTGTTCCCTTAGTCTCTGTTTTCCTCTTTTCGTGTCTTTTCTTATCCATTGTACGATAATAATAGAATGAATAATTGGCTATTTGGCTTCCTTTAGCCAAAAAGAAAAATAAAAGAAAAAAAAATGAACAACTACCAAGTTTGGAAAATTCTTTGCATTCTCTAAGTACATTTGACATTCATGTACGCATTCATTTATTTATTACCAGAAAATAAAAGGAGTCCGACGAACAAGATAACAATTATGCTCAATTCTATATGAATTTTGTAGCCACTTGATTAAAATAAGTACTAATAGTTAACAATGATAGATGCATAATCGGAGCTCGTAGTGAAATTCTCTTCTTCTTTTTAATCATATCATTGTTGTTAGGTTAAAAAAAGGGTAACATGGAGGTTTGCCAGACCATACATTTTATTGGATAGAAAATTGAAAAAGATGCAAATTAACAATTGTTACATACCCTAATCATATGAAGCTATCTGATGCTTTCGATGCGCCACAAAAACACATAACTATTTTTGTTAACAACAAAAGAAAGTATGATTTTTTGTAGAAAGAACCATATATTCCTAACAACTGTCTTCTGATTCTATAATTAAAAATGTGAGTGGCCATGGCGGCTGACATTAAAAATTAAGAGAAAAAATGAACCCCAGATCCCTTTCTTGGGCAATCGCCAATCAGAACTAAATCTTGGAGTATTAGTTGGCGGAGAATAATATTCTGTACTACAAATGGAAAAAATATAACTTCAGTTGGTTAATTTATAGTATCACTAAAGAGTGTATACTTTGCAGATCGAGCAGTATCTTTTTTCTTTTTTGTAAGTGGTGACACTAAAAGCCCAGAAGAATAATTTAAATTAAATAATGAAATAAAAAAGAATAATAGGGATATTTAATTATATTTATTATTCTATATTTCTTCTTTACCAGAAGGTCTCGTGGATACCTAAACTACTCTCCTCTATGAAACTTTATAACTTGTATCCTTCTCCCTCTCATCATATTTATTCTTCTCTTGTTCTGGGTTAGTTAAAAATAAATTTTGATGTTTGAAAAGTATAAAAAATTTAATATAATAATCCAACAAAATTTATTATGAGTCTCGCTTTTACTTTCAATACTATTTTACCTATTCTATTCTCCTAGAAAATGGTCAACATATAACCCAAGTTCTCCCAGCAGACAAAAAAAAAACAAATTATGTTTACAACTATTCTTCAAATAACAATGTAAATCCGAACTGAGATTTTTAATTATGTAAAATGGGACTTTAAAATTTCCCTCAACCAAAATTCCTGCTATTGAAAAAATAATGGAGAAGTAAAATATACTCCTCAGATTTGAATTCAGAAACAGGTAGAGTAGATCAATTTCTCCATTTGTCGTTGTTAATGTTTGGAGAAGAAAATGATGCATCAGAAAGCCTTTCTGGAAATTCCGGTGGGCTGTCTGTACAAATGGGTGTGGTTTCGTGGCCATATTATCCAATCAGTTGGGCTTCTTTTTAATTGAGAATTTTTTATGAACAATTAACCCAAATAGCCGTCCATCTAACCACTTAAACTAAAAATAGTCGGCGGAGGTATAATATATACATAATTTATATATTATATGTGTATAGTTGTGTATAATCTATGTATATGGCTAATAAAAGTAAACAATGAATATGACCGACTATTTGTGTAAAGATCTTTTTTTTTTGGAAACTACCAGCTATGTCCACTTATAAGTAGCTTATTATAAAAATTAGCCAAGTCATAAAATATTACTAATATTAGCCAAACATTATCAATATTAGCCAATTAGCTATTTGTAGCAAAAACAAATGGTCAAATTTTTATTTTCTTTTGAGTGGGTGTTAGTAGAATAGATTGGGTATATCTTAAGGAGCTTGAATCTCAATTTTGAGATGATTTGGTAGAGTTTTGGGGTGGTTTGAATTGAAAATTTGAAGGACAAGATGAACATGAAAAAATGATATGTGTATCACATATGTATCCTATTTGTATCAAATGTATATCACATGTATATCCATGTATACATGTGTGTGAGATACACGCGTGATACATGTTTGATACATGTGTCGCAGAAGAATTTTTTAAACTCGATTTTAACTACGAATTTTGATACCAAATCAGTTCAAATCATCTCCAATCTTCCTCAAATTTTGTATATTGACTCATCTATATGTTTTCAATTAATTTTAACCATACCCATTGAAAAATATTTCTTTTTGCTTCTTATTTAAAAAATAAATTAATACTACACCCTTATGGTGCGGGTATTGAGGTTTCACCCCAACCTGTATATTAATAACCAAAAATGAAAAACATGAAGGAGAGGAACATAATATCTTACCTCCCAAAAATCTATGTTAGAATTGTACGAGTTCNATATATATATATATATGAGGCGAGCAAAACTATCTTATAAGGGATATACATCTTAGAGTGCGAACATAGGAACTCTATACGATCGAAATCGAGCTCGCCCACGACATGGTAGGTTAGGTTCGAAATATGGCAATAAAGGATGGAAGATCGACCCCAAGTCCCACCGTGCTAGAACCCAGGGTTGGAACGCCCGCCTTCGAGAATATCGAGGTCGTGATTCCGCAATCGATCCTAGCCCCGAACGAGCTCGAAAAAATATTGTTAGCATAACAGAAGATCGAAATATCCGTGACGGGTCGGATATTTCGGCGAGAATCTCGACACGTATCAATGAGGAACTGGCGATCGGCAAGTCAAGAGATTTTTTTACCTTTTATAGAATTGTACCTAAAGTAGAACTCCTCTACTATATAAAAGGGGGTCTGGTGATTCATTTAACACATTGTAATACGCATTTCAAAGCAATACATTATTATTTTTCTCTTTAACCTCTTGTTCTTCTGTATCGTGATACCGATCAAAGTGCATCTGGCTCGAGGATGGCTGACCTTCCGAGATTGAAATTGTCCAATTCGTGTGGTTTGAATTTACTTTATCATTGTTTATTTCAATTGCAACTTAATTTATCACTTTGTATCAAGTTAATCCATGTATCCTTAAAACCACTTACAAATTCAATTGTTATCCAATTTTGAGGGTAAACAGGAATCTTATGCATATTTGTTCCTTTTTGCTTAAATTTTTGGAATCTTGTATATATATTTTGTTGTATTTCATCACCTTATTTGCTACCTCATCCATGAAATTTCCTCTTCGTCTTGCATCTAATGTTGCTAATCAGGTTTTAAAATATGAAAGGAGATCTTTGCGTGTGATTCTTGGAGAGAAAGAACCTTATTTTTTGGGGTTTTCATTTTTAGCGACATCTATGTAATATTTCCTTCTTTTTTTTTTGTGAAATCTTTACACAAATAGCCGGTTAAATTAATTATTTACATTTCCTACTTGGTATATATAGATTATACATGATTATGCACATATCATATATAAATTATATACATATTATACATCCACCTGCTATTTTTAATTTAAACAGTTGGTTAGGTGGCTATTTAACTAAATTTTCTCTTCCTTTTTTTTCTTTTGGTAGGATAAGCTTTTAAAAAGCAAGGAAATTCTAGGATAAATTATTTCAACCGCTATATATGAAAAGGTCATCTCGACCACACAAAAATGAAAATCCCAAATCTCAAATCTCCCTATCCAAATTTAATCCCAATATAAGCATGACAAAGCCCTTTCAAGAATATAATGAACTGACTCAAACTAGGAGGAAACTGGCCCAAGAGTATTCTTTCCTAGACCACTGTAAGAAGACTAATGTAAGAGAGTTTCTCCAGAAAAGCCCTAACTGCAGCTAATCGGAATGTGTATTTGTGTTAATGTGTTACTAGTGTTTGTCTTCGATCTTGGGTAAGAGTTGACAGTTTGGACTTTTGTAAACTGAGATAAATTGTTTTTGTGTAGGAAAGCTAAAAGCCAGAAAATTCTTGGCTAAATCATTTCAACATTTTATATGAATAGGTCATTTCGACCAGAACTCAAAAGAATTTATTTAAATTACAGAAAGAAATCGTGCGGATTGATAAAAATAATAAGTAATATAAATCGTCAATGTCTATTTGCTTCTTTTCTGTTTATGTTGCTTAGGACTGCAGTTGTATGAAATTTGAAAGTTGTCATATATAATCAATTACTCTAGCAGAGATTTGGATAATTACTTTGGATGACTTTGACCATACTTTATGAATCAAAAGAAACTGAATTCACACAAAAGATAATCTTAAAACTGTCATAACAAAAATAATGTGAATAAATGAAATGTATTCAGCAACATCCACCTTATGATATCAGTAAAACATTTCAAAGCAACATAGTTCGAGACTTCGAGTATCTCTCAAAATGGGTTTACAACATTCACCTTAGTATTTCAAAGTATGAAATACTTCTCAAATATTAGAAGAAAGAAAAACTGAAAAAGTATGAATTTACAGTCCTCGAATAGATAACTGCAGTTTTCCTTTATTATAGTAATATACTATGCTTTTATGCAATGCTGAAGATAAGTCAAAGTTGGGCTTTTTTAGGGGACATTCACAGCATCCAACCAGGCACCATGCCATTGACGTTTTGGGCATTTGTTACTGCTGTTATTTGGCTTGAAGTAGTTATTGGATCGTACCTGCTATAAATAAAAATAAAGAAATTTAGTTTTAGGCTATCACTTTTTAATTTTTTCCGTTACATACGGGAATTAGAGAAGGGGAAGGAAAAGGGACAGTGAGAAATATTTGCACCACACCAATTGTGTGAAAGATTCCCATCAATACTACTAGATTATAAGTGATAAATTTCTTGATTTTAATCACCCTCATCACACTGGGATAAATAGTTTTTGCTAGCACTTACTCCCATAAGTTTCGTACCAGAGGCGGATATAGCTCCGTAGCAACTGGTTTAATTGGGCCCATAACTTTGGGCGCGAAGCATAAATTTATGTACAAAAATTCATTGAAATCGCAATAACTAGCAGATAGAACCCATAACTTTAAGAATATAATGAGTTCAATATTAAGAACGTTAAATGTTGAACCCACGAGTTATCCTAGATACGCCTCTGGGTTGTTTGTTGAGGTGTTTCACACTAGAGCAAGCCTTACTCGTCATTTAACCATCAGTTGCAAATGCAAATAAAAGTAACATAATGACAATTTAGAAGTAGGTCGACTTTACCCAATTTGCAAAATAGAGTTGCAGTCTAGAGGTTGGAAGAAACCCTGAGATTGAGCATGTTGCTGACCATAAGTGATACTTTGCTCACCACCTCCCCATGGTTGCTGCAGGTTGTTTTCAGCATATATTTCTTCCAGCTAAAACATAGGCAAATTTAACACAATTTGGAACATCCATAAGACAAATAATAAGTTTCCACTGATAATTAAGGCACATATTCACATAGGTGAATAAAATTGATGATCGATAAAATCAGGAATGATATATTTCTAACAACACCAAACAAGAATCAATATATAAGAGAGTTACAATCACATGTATTGGCTACCCACCCTACCTTTCTTTCAAGTACCTTATTAGCCTCAAGCCACAATTTCTCCTGTACATTTAATGAGAAGCTTATGTGAATTACTGTTGAATACATGAGATATTATATTGATCTAAGAACATTTCCCAACCAATTAATGTGAATTACCTTAGATTGAAGATCAGTAAGCTGGTCAAGCATCAGTTGTGTCTACAAAGCAGCCAGAAGATACAATAAGAAATAAGATGAGATTTGTAAATGTTAGTATGGCCAGCCATCGAAAAATGAAAAAATATTTTAAAATTCTGGCCGATCAGCCGTCGCAATTTTTTTATAATGGTGAATTTGTATATGTTTATATCACTAAGCTTACCCTGGTGGACCTAATGTGTTTGAGGGAATTATCTAACTGAACTTCAAGATGATCAAGATCATCTATATTCAGAGGCCCCAAGTCTTCTCCAAGAAGGTGTCTGTCAAAGAAAATGTCAAGTATAAGTCACATAATTTAGGTAACATGGTTAAGATTAGCTAGATGTAGGTTTACCTTTGATATCGCTGCAGTGACTCATATTTGGCTTTGAGTTTTAAGTATTCCCTATAGCTGCTTTGCTGCAATGGACGAGATGATATATCAAAAACTTGAAAGAGGTCAATTCAACAGATGAATCGTATTTTGTAATACCAAAAGGTTTTATTGTGCAAGCATCGAGCTCAGAGACGGATCCATGACTTTAATTCTATGGGTTCGGCCTTTATGGTTCTTAGTATTGAACCTATTATATTTTTAAAGTTATGGGTTCAGACCCACTATATGTTGCAATTTTAGTGAAATTTTTACACTAAATTTAACTCCGTGTCGAAAGTACTTAGTTCAGATGAACCCGATACTATAACACTACATACGCCTCTGATCGAGCTCACTATTTATTTATTTCTTACACATAAAGTGTGGGTTTTCAACTCCTCAAAAAGTTAAATCTTTCTTGCTTTTTTGCGAAAAAACTACAAGGAAAAATTCTGATCAAATTAGCAGCATTCATGTTAGAAAGCAATCAAATTACACTAGTTATATACCGTGGCAAAATAGTACATTTTTCATTCCTTTGTTCTAAGGGATGGCGGAATGAAGTCAAGTAGCTTTAGTTACCTCATTGTCTTTGATTGATCGGTTGACTTCCAATGTACCATAGCTGCACTTTTGGTACCTATCAAGGGTTTTGAGCATACTGATATGCATAGGAAAAATAAGAGGAAAAGTTAATTGTTAGTGTACCACAAGAGATGTATGTGTTACGAGTCCAAACCTTAGCGAATGTTTATGTAATAATCATCCTTAATATGTCCCATCTATCATAGGTTATTATTACTGGAAATCTGGAAAAATTGGTAGATATGAAAGATAGTCTCTGTTATTTCTTTTGGCACATACATTCTACCCAAAATTTGCATTTCAATGCCTCACTTAAGGACTGTTTTGTTTTAATTTGTCACAGACATCATACTTTAATTAATCAAGAACAATGATGTCAACTTTCCCCCTTAGCTTGCAATAATAGATAATAAAAAGTGCTTCTATGAACCCAAATTTTGGGAATTGCAATACAAGCATTTAGTGGATGGAATATATATGTGTCATAAGATTCGACTAGGAACATAATTTCACTCAAATCATTTTCATGATTTTAGATAATTATACTAAAACACTAAAGTTTTTACTCTAATGTTATGTTTGCCGTCACTAATCGATGTATTTGCCTTCATTAAAGGAGCCACTACTTCTCTTCACTTGACTTAGCATTTCAAATGACACCTAAATGGAGATTTGTTCCACTTATGATTATGAGGTGCCAAAATACATGCATGCCAAGAACATGGAAGTCATCAAGGTAGCAATAGACATGCTTTGGGTAGAATTACCGACACTAATTGTGCATATGAAAGGTAACATATATTTGATGAAATAACCGAGATCCGTACAAGTTGGACTAGACACAACTTTTTAAGAAGTAGCAGTGTAGCACTAGACATGCCAATTAAGCATAGAAATGACATCAGACAACCATTCTAAAGGGTTGCTACTTAGGAATTAGTCAGTGCCTCCTGAATTTCAATTTTTCAGGACAAAAATGTCCTGAATTGTCCTAAAGTTAAAATTTTTAATTTAAAAGTTCAAGACAAAATAAATACTGCCTAATCTCTAAATAACATTCCTGAGAATAACTATTCTATACACTGGCCCCAAATAAGCTTATAGAGGTTTGGTTAAGGGGTTGCCAAATTTTAAGGTGAGCATATCCCAGGATCCCTTGTTCCAGCTTCTGAAAGTCTAAGTGAGGACAATTGACGCCTCAATTACAAAATGTAAACTACAAGTGGACTTCTTTAATTAGCTCCCGAGCCAAGTTAAATCAGCTACATCGTGGTACTACGCCCCGTTTGGCCGTAGATTTTGCCAAGTCTTTTCCAAAATTATTTTGGCAAAATATGTTTGTTTATAGATTTTATCCATGTTTTGGCAAATTTTAAAAACAAAATTTCAAAATCCCAAAACCAGCTCTAGACCCAAAATATCACTGTTGGATTTTTAACAATTTCAAAAATTACCCCAAACTTTTATATTTTTTTAAAAAAGCCACCATCTATTATGACCTAACTAACCACCAGCTAATTACTACTATCATTTTCTTTTGGAATGATGAATCTTATAATATTATTGTAATTTGATGAATTATAGTAGCTAGTAATTGTGTTATTAGCAGTTGATATCAAAATATCACGTTATGATTTTAGGATAGTGTATTATGTAGTTAATTATACAAATAATAATTTTGTGCCAAACTTATCTATTTTCAGGACTATGATTTATGATAATGATAATGAATGGCATCGATGAAGGTTATGCATGTATAAGATTAACAAGTTTGTTTGTTTGGTATTGTTGAGTATTTTTAATAGTTTTTAGAACTTATGTGTATAAGTCACATTTCATGTTTTTTCAAAAATAAAGTGACATATGTTTTGAAAATTTATGTCCAAACAGATTTTCATCCTCAAATCAAACTTCACCTAAATCAAAATTTTTAAAACAAATTTAGGAATCTATGACTAAACGCTAGTTACATATGCTACAGCCAATTACCCAATAAACATCTTAAATCCTTTTCTCTTTTAATTGAAGAGCAATATACGATGGGCAATTGCATGACCTATATTACAAATGCGTACGATCACACAGAAAAAAGTGATAAAAAGATGGATCTTGTAGACTAATTTGCTAAAAGGTGAAGCCTTTGGTAGAGTTTTGCCATGCATCATTAAAAAGATCAAAGACTTTTTATCATGTAATCCAACAATGCAGGAACGGACAGTGTTTTATCTAGTTACTCCAAGGTATTTTAAAAGGTACACATCGTTGTAATTACATACTAATAAAACACCTCCAGATCTGCCGGTACGGCTACTCAGCCATATTACCCTTTTCTCTTAACTTCAAACAAGAGATTGTTGGTATATATATATATATATATATATATATATATATATATGATCCATATTTAATTTATCATTATTTAAATATTACTAGGATTTTCATGTTATTTTAATTTAAACCTAAAAAGGAATGAAAGAAAATTCCTCTTCAAGTAGTACTGATCGCTGATAATCCATCAAAGGAAACAGATCTTGCATAACATATTATCAAATGATCTCCTACTCACTCACTTTTTTTGGGGTCAAATTGGTGGGAACTATATTAGATGTACAACTAAAAACCTAATTTTGCATTGGACAAGATCCAAGAAAAACACAGACTAATATAGAGCTATAAAAATCAAAATAAAGGTGAAACAAGGAGAAAATGATAGCCAAAACAAAAGCAAAGACAGATTTTACAAATAAGAGAAAGAGATGGAAAAAATATGTACTTGTTGGAGCTGCAGAATTCATAAAGCTTGCCACGATTAGAGAAAACAATAAGAGCAACCTCAGCTTCACAAAGCACAGAGAGTTCATAAGCTTTCTTGAGCAATCCATTTCTCCTCTTTGCAAAAGTAACCTGCCTATTTATCTTGTTCTCTATCCTCTTCAGCTCCACTCTTCCTCTACCCATCCCCTTATTATATATATTTTTTTAATTTTGCTTTATTTTCCACTTTCTTCTCTTGGGTAACAATTGATCCTCTTTTCAGTCCTACTGCCTCAACCAAAATTGTGAAAGAAGTGAACAAAAGGAACTGCAAACCCTAGCTAGAGAGAAAAAGAAAAGGATTTTTAAGAGAGAGCCTTTCTTTCTTAAGTCTATATGTTCAATGTAGAGAGAGAAACAAAAGAAAAAGTGAACATGGGTTGTTGTTCTTCACTTTATCTTCTTCTTGTTTTAGGATTCTTTGTTTTAACCTTAGGATTTGCTTATGCACTCCAAATTTAGATACCTCAGAGCCTTAGGGTTGGTCTTGTTTCCACTTTGAAGTTTCATGAATTTAGCCAATGCATTAAAGGGATGTCTCGCACGCGAGTTTTAAAGCGTGGTGACCACGCCGGATGGATATTCGCAGTTTAAGCGACACGCGTCTAGTTAAGTGTTACTGCTTTGGTTTCTCAATTGTGTGGTCCATCAGAGAAAAAAACAAAGAAGTGTATTAATTAGTTGAACACGCGTCGATTGACTAGTGGTTGTTACATAGAAATCATGCACACCAATTCTCAATTCTGCCCCACAATTTTCGGATAGATAAACTCTTCTTCGCTTTTAAATTAAATTTCGTACTTCTTGATTGTTTAAAAATAAAAAGTTACTAATATAAAAACCCATGAAATATTGATTTTCAGGATGCACTATTGAGTTTGTTGGTGACACTTTAAATCAGAGATAAGCGAATAATTACTATGTGATAAAGGTGAATTGCTATATTATTTGATATATTTAGCTTAACATTTTCATCCAATAACTTAATCTGCACTCATTTGTCAAAAGCGAATTTTGTTGATATCCTTAATATTGATTTGGATGTAATTCAATTTACCTTTTGCGAATAAATCTTAGAATTTTACTAAATGAAAAATGTGACGACATAATTTAGTCAAAGATATATTTTCTTTGCCTATTAGAAAGGGATGAAAGATTACTGATTTTGCAACAGAAAGAGTATTTCTTCCTCCTTTTTGTTTTTTGGATAATGAGAGAAAAAATTATTTTTGCCCTAATTTTCTTATCATATTTGAGTTTTACTTTTCTTTTAAAGGAAAGTCAAAGTATTACCATAATTATTTTTACTTTTCCTAAAAGAAAAATATAGATCTCTTTCATATTCGACAGATTCCTTTCTTGGCTGTGACCTCTATAAATTGAGGATCTCTCCTTCACAGAAAAACACATACAGTAGCATCCACAGTGTAGTCGTTTAGAGAATTTTGTTTAGGGGGAAATTTTCTCTCAATAGGATCTTATGTTTTTTTTATATGTAGGCAAATTGGCCAAACAATATTTTTATGCATATTTTAGTAAATTTTCTTTGTATCTGATTTATCGCCGTCCAAGATTTGCAATTATTAGCTTTTGCATGACGCTTTATTTTCAATCACAACAAGAATATGAGAAGTTAAAAGTGGACCAATTGGATTCTTATAATTATGTTTATTTTAGTGGCATAATTATATTATCGTGGCACCTTTTGAACAAAAGACATGACATCTCTGCTTTTTGTAAACTGGAAAAGAAAAAAAAGAGAAACTCGTTTATGCTGAAATTTTCTGTTACGTGGCACTTTTAATTAACATAATTAAACGTAATCACTTTTAGTAAAATAACAACACCTCAGAACACTTGGAAAAAAGGAAGTAAAAATATAATGAGACTAGGGGTGTGTTTGGTATGAAGAAAATTATTTTTTGAAAAATATTTTTTAATTTTCCCATGTTTAATTTGGTTGGCTTAAATGTTTTGAAAAATATTTTTTTCATGAACTCATTTTTCTCCCATTGGTGAAAAATATTTTTCCTGTCAAAAGAAGTTAAAATATTTTTCAAAACTCTTTTTCAACATTCTCCACCCTCCTATTCCCCATTCCCACNTCATGATGTAGAAAAAGTATTTTCTTTTATTTCAACAAAACGAGTATTTTTTTTTCATGATGTAGAAAAAGTATTTTCTTTCATTTCAACAAACTAAGTATTTTCTTTTCCTAAAATAGAAAAAGTACTTTTTCCAACAAAATGAGTACTTTCTTTTCATGATGTAGAAAAAATAATTTTTTTCATTTCAACAAAACGAGTACTTTCTTTTCTTGATGTAGAAAAAAAATACTTTCTTTCATTTCAACAAACTGAGTATTTTGTTTTTATGATGTATAACAAATATTTTTTTTTCATGATGTATAAAAATTATTTTCTTTCAGTCAACAAAATGAGTAATTTCTTTTCATGCTGTAGATATGATAATTTATTTTTCAACAAAAAAAATATTTTCTTTTTAGTTATCGAACTCAAATTTCAATATTGTTCTTGTATGAAAAAGTAAATTAGCACGTTAGTTCCTTTGGGTTTGTGTGAATTTTGAAAAGAATAATTAAATTCTTGAAGAAAATAGAGTCCTCGAGGGGTGGGGGTGGGAGTGGGGTGGGAGTACATGAAGCATGAGGATTTTGGAGAAGGTGAGTTGAGGAGAGTAGCATAAAAATTATTTTACTAAAAATATTTTATACTGACTAACCAACATTAGAAAATATTTTTTTGAATTTTTTTTTCTACTCACCAACTAAACAAGAAAAAAAGTGGTAAATCACTCATTTTTTCATTAAAATATTTTTCAGGAAAATATTTTTCACGAAAAACATTTTCATTCGTACCAAACACACCCTACGATACTGTCGACTTAATTAATAATGACCTTATCTAAAGGATGCTTCATCAATAAATGGGCTTTTGGTCAATGACTTTCGGTGTCTAAACTTCAAGTGCCTCTTTGGGAAATTATGTTAAACATTGTAGATATAGTGTACATTAAGCAAATCGTTGTGGCTGCTTTATGGATGTTTTAGCCTCCAAAAAAAAAGAAGATTAAGGCTATTAACCATATATAACATCTTCTAATATTTTCCAAAATGTGGAAAGACTTGTTAAACTCGTATTAAAAAATTAATCTGAAATGTGAGATTCGATCTGCATATTAATATGAACCACGGATTTTGTTGACAATGATGTATCATGTTAACGAAATATCCAAAAACCAATAAGAGTAAAAAATCATAGGAGTTTCCAGTTTGTTAGGACATTTCTCCCATTGAAGTGTCTTGTCTTGATAATCCTTTCGAGCACTCGCATAAACTAGAAGAACGCTTAGCTTAGTTACTCAAGATGAGCTTTTGGTTTTAAAAAAGTAAAATATGAAACAAATATATATGTTCATAAAGTTGCTAACAATTTTACATACCCACTAAGTTACTAACTAACGTACGTATAAATATAATATGTTATATTCATTCCGGACACATTACATACGAAGCGGCAGATCTATTAAGGAGAAAGAGGTGGCACGCCACTAGCCCAACCTCGGTCGAAACATTGTAAATATATGTATACGAATAGATAAAATAGCCAAATAATATAAGTGGCACCCAGTTACCCAAAATGGGGTTGTGTGCCGCTGGCAAAGGTTCTGGGTTGTGTACCTACTTCCATTGTCTTTGAACGAGAAGGGGACAAGAGTATTGTTCTGGGTGATTTGGAACTCTCCGAGAGTCGTTATGACTTTGAATATTGTAGGCGGATTAGAGTCGATGAAGTTGAGGGGGCTATGCGTAAGATGAGTAGGGGCAAAACGACCGGGCCGGATAAAATTTTAGTGGAGTTTTGAAAGAGTGCGGGCAAGGCAGGCTTGGAGTGGCTCACTAGGTTATTTAATGTCATTTTTAGAACGAAAAAGATGCTCGAAGAGTGAAGGTGGAGCACGATGATTCCTGTATACAAGAACAAGGGTGATATCCAAAATTGCAATAACTATCGGGGTATCAAGCTGCTTAGCCATACTATGAAAGTCTGGGAGAAAGTGGTAGAGCTAAGGGTGAGGAAGAGGGTATCTATTTCCAAGAACCAGTTTGGGCTTATGCCGGGGCATTCGATTACAGAAGCCATCCACCTTGTTAGGAGATTGATGGGGCAGTATAGAGAGAGAAAGAAGGACTTGCATATAGTGTTCATCGACTTAGAAAAGGCGTACGATAAAGTTCCGAGGGAGATTTGTGGAGATGTTTGGAGGCTAGAGGTGTACCTGTTGCCTATGTTAGGCTGATTAAGGACATGTATGATGGAGTAAAGACCCGAGTGAGGACGGTGGGTGGGGACTCAGACCATTTTTCGGTTATGATGGGGTTGCATCAGAGGTCGACACTCAACCCTTTTTTGTTTGCTCTGGTGATGGATGTACTGATGCGCCACATCCAAGGGGAAGTGCCGTGGTGCATGCTATTTGCAGATGATATTATATTGATTGACGAGACGTGAGACGGTATGAACGCGCAATTAGAGGTATGGAGGCAGACCCTGGAATCTAAAGGTTTTAAGTTGAGAAGGACCAAGACAGAATATTTGGAGTGTAAGTTCAGTTGCGAGACTCAAGTGGGGGAATGAGAGGTGGGGTGAGGCTGGACTCGCAGGTCATCCCTAGGAGAGGGAGTTTTAAGTACCTTGGATCTATTATTCAGGGGGATGGGGAGATTAATGAAGATGTCACACATCGTATTGGGGCGGGATAGATGAAACAGAGACTCGCTTCCGGTGTTTTATGTGACAAGAAGGTACCACCAAAACTTAAGTGTGAGTTTTACAGAGTGGTGGTCAGACCAACGTTATTGTATGGGGTTGAGTGTTGGCCAATCAAGATCGCTCATGTCCAGAAGATGAAGGCAGCTGAGGTGAGGATGTTGAGATGGATGTGCGGACATACGTACACCAGGTTAGATATGATCAGAAATGAGATTATTCGCGACAAGGTGGGTGTGGCTACTATTGAGGACAAGATGCGGGAAGCGCGGCTTATGTGGTTTGGTCATGTGAGGAGGAGGAGCACAGATGCCTCGGTGAGGAGGTATGAGATGTTGACATTGGAGGGCCTATGGAGAGGTAGAGGTAGGCCAAAGAAAAGGTGGGGAGAGGTGATTAGGCAAAACATGGCGCAATTTCAGCTGACCGAGGATATGGTCTTTGATAGGAAGGTATGGAGGTCGAGGATTAGGGTAGTAGAGTAAGTAGTCTAGAATGTTCATAACAGTAGTATTGGCACACATTCTCGCTTTGGCAGTAGGTTTTTATAACTAATCGTTGTTTTCTTATATTGTGGATTACCTTATTACCTTGTTATTTTTATTCTGCTTTTATATGACTTTTTGGTACTGTCCCTTCTTGTCTATAT